TATTTTGGCTCGCAAGGTCACTATTTGAAAAAATAATGGCTAAAAACGGCTATTTTTGTTTGAGAATCTCAACTGAATTAAACTTTGTGTAATTGCAAAGATATTTAAATGTATTTAATGTTTATTAGTGATTTATAAGCTTATTTGTTGAAAGAAAGTCTATTTTTTAATCTACATGAAACCAAGCCAAATCAAATTTAAATTTCCTTTTCCCGCATTATTTTATTTTGGCCTCTAAAATTTGTCCATGACTAGATCTATATCTAGAATTGAGACTAGAGTTAGAAATCTAGTCTGACTTTATGAGTCAAGATCTAGACTATTAGAAGTATTAGATGTAGATCTAGTCTAAATTAAATGAAATTTAAAACCACTAAAATTACTAAAATCACAATTTTCAGTAAAACTATAGATCTAGTATTTAATAAGTTATTAAGTAACATTTTTAACACCTATTTCATTCATTGTTCAAAAGCCTTAGGCTTAAAATACATACGTCAATAGGAAAAAAATGTATGACATCCTAAATGTTTCACACTGCAGCGATTTAACAAGGTTGATACCTTTTGACTCAATCTTTAAAACACTGGTTGTCAGGAAATTTTGTGTTTAACCCATTAGCTCCTTCAGCAGTTGGAAACGTTTTCCAGTTTTTGTCCTAAAGTTAAAGCATTGTAGAGTGTTTCTATAATCCCCTATTCAATATACTTGCTTTAAACTTTTAATGATTTCTTTTTGTCTCGTTGCATGCGTGATTACTAATCATTTTGGAGATTACTGATTCTATTTTTAATAAAAATGTGGAAGATTTTTATTGCTTAAATTAGGTACTTCGATAAAAATTTCAAAATGATCACAATGCAATGAAACCTATTTGGTTAGATAGAGTTTGAGAAATACTTTCCAATGATACCAATTTTATATTGCTGAGTTAATTGTGAGGGAAGTTATTAATTTTTTAGTGGCCAAAAATTAGCCTTTGTAAAGTAAAAAAAAAATCTGTGAAACAACTGTCAGTTGAACTTTAATTAACCGTATTATAAAAAGTGTTAAAGATATGGGGTTGAAACTTCACACTTTTTCATTAACCTGTATTCTGTTAAAACAAATAAAAAAAATAATACCAAGTACTAAAATCTTTGAAAAAAAGTGAATTAATATATTTTAAAAAGCCTTCGACAAAAAATAAAAATATATGTGATTTTGTCATCATATGAGCCCAAAAATCACAAATAAAACAAATTAGAGATCTGTAGTGTGTTTTATTTTGTTTAATTATAATTCTACTGTATTTAAATAGCTATTTATATGTATCAGATAGATAATTTTTATAAATTAAAAATGAAAATAGCACTGCGCAGAAAAATATTTGCTAAAATTTTATGACTAAGTTTAATAAACTTCATAAAAAACAGTTTAAACCTTTTTACTGGCAATTAATCATTTTAAAATGCCTGAATTTAAATGCTTCAAAATTAGATTGTAAATGAAAAATGTCTTGCATTGGACAATAAAATAAAAAAGAAACCTTGTGATTTATTTAGAAGTTATTAAAAGATTTTTAACTTAAATTTTTGTAGCTCATCAGTTTAAAATGTAATGTACTCATTTATTAACTATTAATTTACATGTATACTAATAGAAAAAAACAACACACAGAAAAAAAAATGAAATAATAGTTCGCAGAGCTAAAAATATGGGGAAAAAAATTAATATTTAATATTATTATTTTAAAATATTTATTTTTACTATAAAATTTCCACATTACAAAGTCATTATAATAAAGACACATTCCCTCTCCATAATCTAGCATTTAAACATAAAAGTTAATCTAAATGAAAAATTCCTATCTGTGCTTCTAAAAAATAGGACGTGATAGATAGAAATTGTCCATTTCCAGTTATCACAGTGTTGGTTGTTACTAAAAATAGATTTTAACCTTTGTTAATTTTAATATCAAATATCTTTAAAGTGCGCCAAGCAAACAGCATTGTTGTAACTTTTAGAGGAAAAAAAGTTGTAAAAAATGTCAACTTTCACATAAACTTTTGTTAAGAAAAATTTAACAGATTGGCTTCAAAAGCAAATAAATATGATCTCTAATATCTTATGTTAACAAAAAGTTATCACAATTAGTCCTGAAATCAAATACAATGTGCTAAAACTTTGATGGAAATGACCACCCTTAAAAAAGGGTAAAATGTGCTGACACACTTTTCAACCATTTTTTTGGAGGGGAAAAAATGGATCTAGGTCAGTTTATCGAAGTACCTACTTAAATAATTTTTCAAACGAACAGGCCCATAGCCCCAGTGTAAGCCCCCACGTGGGAAAATGAGTATTTTTGAAGCTTTATATATCTTTTTAAACTAGACATACAGTTCTATTTTTTTTAAAGTTGTTTGTTTAATATGTATTAGATCTTAAATTTCATTATTTTTTCAAAAGAAATATTTTTTAAATTCGGGGTTATCCCTCTTTGCTTAGGGCCTGGAAAGGGTTATTAACCGGAAATAGGAGCTATTGGGTTAACTATATTATGTTCACTAACCCCTATTATGTTCACTGTAGCTGTGTTGATATATGTATTGTAATATTTCAAGGGCCATAATTGGTAGAATTTAAGATTTTAGATCTACAGACGGAGCATATCTTTGATTTCTCATTGTGCAGGTATTGTATAATTGAACTAGACAATTCAAGACTGAAAGCAACCCCCAGCATGTAATCATTTGTTTAGAAAACACATTGCCAGACAAAAAGAAAATTCCAAAATATTCAAGATGGTATTTACAAACTTTATGGTTTTTTCTGACCATAAGTCAAAACTTAAACTTAGTGATTGGATCAGCTTTAAATCGAGTATATTGAGCAAAAGTTAATTTAGGGGTGGTGTTTACTGAATCTATTTTTAAAAAGCACAAAACTTTTTCCAGGAGGCTGAGAGAATTTTAGATGGTAAGAAACCGGATGAGGATGCTCAGACACGAGGACAACAGAAACAAATAGAAGAGTTAACAAAGGAAAAAACTCCAGAACCTCCTACAAAGAAATCTAAATTGACTAAAGACAGTACAATGGCAGCTACAGCTAAGGTACACCTATTTCTACCTGAATTTTTTTGATCAAAAGTGTCAAAACAATTTAATAACACATACTCGATTTAAAGCTGGTTTATTCTATTAGTTTTCCAAGAAATACTTTATTTTTCAATTTTGTCTGGCTACTTATTGACTGATTCTTGACTATGATTCACTCTGATTAGTTAACCGAAACATGTCTGAACGAATAATAGTATATATTGATATGAGCATCCATGAAAGTGAAAATGTATAAAGGTTAAAACTTTAAACATATATAATATATATATATATATAAATATTCGAAGGAGTCACTAAAAAATTTAATTATTTATTGGTTTAATTATGGTTAGGGGTGTTATATACATCATGTCACAAGCAGCTGCTGACCCCAGTTGTTATGGTTTGTTGAAAATCATGTGTTCTGCATATTTTGACTCTTAATTTTAAAATGACTACTTTGTTCTTCAAGATTGTCCTTGAGCTATCATCTAAATATTTTAAATTGTTTCCTTTCAGGAGGGGAAAGCTTTGCTGTCTGGTGAGAAACTTGGTGACACACGACAGGAAACACAGAAAAGTAAAGCTAAGCCAGCACCAAAGAAAAATTCTACTATTGCCAAAACAATGGAAGAAGGTTAGGTTGTTGTTTTTTTTACACCAGAGTGAGTTGATAAAAAGCTTTGTTTTTCAAGCAGCCCCCCAGAAAGGCAAATAGCCGCTATTAGATTTGTGTAGTCTGTATGTTCATCTGTCCATCCTGTTTAGATCTCGTAAACTAGAACAGATACTGGTATTAAAAATCTGACATTATATTTTCTAAGACCTTTCAAAGTTTAGAAGCTACTTTTTTTCTTTTCTGAAAGCAAAAAATTTAATTTTCGAATCAACTTTGCAAGCATTTTTTTTTTTAAATACACCATTTGTACAACTATTTACTATTATTAGTAACGATATTTAGTAAGGGAGATGACCATTTACCATATTTTTAGCACATTTATACAAACATTTTATTACAATTGTATTGCTAAATTAAGTTCTGTCATACTAACAACCTACATTTACAAAGAAATGTTTACTTTTTTTTAAAGAGAATAAAATCTATTTAGTATCCATATAAGTGGAATATAATTTAAAACAATGAAAAAGTAGTGATTCATATTATTCGCATGAACTGCGGTGCTATTGTTGAGGCACCACTCAAGATCTGCCTAGAATCTGTCACAGCTAGCGTAATTTCGTCAAGATGGGTTTCTAATCATTTGTGATGTGGTCTTTGTGACACCTAGGATTTAACTATTATCTTCATAACTTTCAGTTCATTGCATACATATGAATTATTAACAATGTAATAATAATAACATAAATAAAGCGTATCCTGTGGCATAAGTCGTTAGTTGAACTATCAGTACAACAGTATCTGCAACACTTTCGACAGGTCCATGTCTCTTCTTTTTTGTATTGATGGAAATAGGGTTGTAGTTGTTGATAGTTTGTAGTTCAAAGTTTCTGATATTCTTTTTGAAAATATTGAAAACCTGCTTGAGTGGACAACGTCGGAGGCTGATTTTGAGTTTGTTTCCACACAAACTGTCTTACTAACTTGTTTCAGCACATTATTTTTTGCTTAGAATTGTTTTCAAGTATGGTTTGTACAAATTAATGTAAACAAATTTCTATTCTTGTCATTAATTAATAATGAATACCATGTCTTTTTTTCCTCAGCTAAATATGTTTTAGATGGTGAAGTTGATGTTAATGCTGGTCGCAAGACTCGTTCACAAAGCAGAGGAGATGCCCCTAAACCACCAGTGAAAAAAGCTGCTCCTAAGAGGGCAGCCAAAGAACCAGCAGCTAAAGGCAAAGGAAAGAAAGGAAAAGTAGAAGAACCTGCAGCAGTAGAAAGTGAAGATAAATCTGAAGAGAAAAGGACAGAAGAGAAGAAACCCGCAGCTAAAGGCAAGAAAGGCAAGGCAGCAGCAGCAGCTGAGGAAGCCCCAGTGGCAGCCCCAACAGCAGAAGGTGACTCTGATGAAAAAAAGAGTGACAGTTAGTTCATAAATTTTAATTTTTTTTACATCAAAATGCATCTGGTCATCTGTACATTTTGTGAACATTTGATCACAGTGTTCTTACTAACTAGTTATGTTGGACTTGTATCCTTCACCAGGTGAAAGTTGCTTTCATATATATGGGATTTTAAAAAAAGGGGGGGGGGGGTGACATTGGAACTCTTGTGTTTGAATGTTGACAAACTGACCATGACTCATCACAATAGTTTCAGTTGATTCAAAGTCTGCCACATTGCATAAAAGATAAAATAACAGTGAGGGCTTAAACTCATTAATTAAACTAGAAAGGGGGAGGTAGAGTTGTTTTTGTTTTGTACAAATCACACACATATGCAGTGTGGATGACATTCCTTACTCCCCCCTCTTTTTTTTTTTTTTTTTTTTTGTAATCAAAGACTTAATTGTATTATTTTGGTTATCATGAACCATAAGAATAAGTCAATTCCCTGCAATAATGAAAATAGTCTTGGTCTACTGATTTTCAAATAGGTTTTTTTTTTTTAAAAGTGTTAGGAGATAGGTGGTAAAACAATTTTCACTTGAACAAGATCTTTATTGAGCATGAGCATTCAATAAATAGAACATTGGTTTAGTATACATTTTTGTTCATTGTGAATATCATCTTTCATGTTCAATTTTAATGTTACTTTAAATTTCATTTATGAGGGAATTACCATACAATATTTTTTTTAGCCATGATATTGTATTATTTTTAAATGGATTGTTACTATTTAATGCAACATACCATGATCGCTGTTTTGTGCTAAGGGGGTGGGGGGACATTGAACTTTTAACTGGCTTTCATTAGGTATACATATTTTTAATTTCTGTTGTTATATTTTTAACATCTTGTCCAATTTTTACATTTGAAACTTACTGTTAAAGTATTTACTCAATCTACATCTTGGTTTAACTTAGGTATATAAGGAGGACCAGGAGAGCCATGTTGTTTGGGGGCTTGACTGTTGGTTGTTGTTTATAAATTGTATTCACCTTTTTTTTTTCCTGTCAAACTCGTAAAATGTGATGCATAATTTGTTTTTAAGTCTGATAAATTTTATCCCAACATTTTTTGTTTTGTTTTGTTTTATCTAATTAGCTTTATTTTATCTTTTGAGATAAAAAGGCAGCATCATATTGAAATTCACTTTGTTTTCTGCAGTTATGTTAATCAGAATTCTGGTTTAGGCCCAAAATGTTTTTTTCTCAGTGTATATCTATCCTTAATCAGGATGACAATTGATTGAATTAAATGCTGGACTTTTAGCTTAGTTTTTCAGATGTAACATTTTTATTTATTTGCTCCACTAATTGTTAATTTTTGTATTGTTATTCTAGAAAGATAATTTCAGAAAGTTGGGAAAGCTTGTAGGATTTATGAAGAAACTTTTTTTTAGAATCCATGTTTTATGTGTATTTGTGCAGATGTTCATAATATAATAGTTTGTATAAGGTGTAATTTCGAATTTGTGTATCCCCTTAAAATGAAATTTAAAAAGATTTATGTGCTGTAATTTTTCTTTCTACTTGACAATTATATATAGCATTGAGTTCATGTAATTTCAGTTATTGTAATTAAATTTTGAGATTTCATTTATTCCTTTTTACTTTTTTTTTTTCTTCTTGAAAAGTACCTTGGTTCTGTAATTTCTTTGTTTCAGAAATGTAGTGTTTGTTTTAATAACCCCCCATTGTTGCTACCCTTGAAGATCATCTCCATCTATCATTAGTATGTGTCATTCTTTCTGCTTTCATAATAAAGTATGTTGTAACAATAATTCTTAATAAGACTTGTATTATTTTTTGGGAAATTTTTTTTTTTTATTTCACACAGCCACTCTTTAGTAGATTTAAGCAGAAATCTGAAAATGTTCAGTAATTGTTGACATTTTAATATAAAAGTACACATGAACGTCTCAAGTGTTGTTGTTGTTTTTTTTTTTTTTTTTTTCAAAATAGTGACATCTGCTTTAGAAAACATGATGCATTTTAAAAAAACTACAAATAAATTGTGTCACTATAATTCCATATAATTAAAAACTACTAGTAATTAGTATTTAGAAGGTTAAAGGTTAGGAAGTATAAAATTATAATATGCATTGGAAATGATTGAGTAAAACTTCCCTATAAACTTTTGCTGTTTTACTGATGTAATTGAGCTAACACAGCTTCACTACATTCAAGACCTACTTGTTCAAAACTCCATTCAATAATGCTATCTCATAGTGCATTATGTTTGTAATGCTAATAATTTGCTATACCCCGGTATAATTTAAATTATAAAACTATATAGCTCTAGTAGAGAAATTAAACATCTCAATTGATTTCAGATTTTCGGAAGTTGATTTTCTTTTAATTTATGCCCAGGGTTGCAACATGATCTGGATAACACATAGTATTTAGTATGAACTATAATAGTCTTTGGAAAAATAATGAATTGTTTTACAAGTTTCAGATGTTCCTTCATGTTTAATGATAACCAAGCAGTATTCGATGGATGAGGCAAAAATTTTTCCTTGAAAAAATAAAGAAAACTTGGGATTTTCATACTAGAATATTTGTTTAAAATTGAAAACAACTGAATGCCGATAACTTATAAAGGTAGATTTAGAACTACGTCTAGGATATTCTGTTGATTTTGGGAGACTTACTTAAAAACTATTGGTGGGCTTTCATTTGTCTTGTATTGCTGTGGTATTCAAAAGGCTTTTTTTAATTTATTATTATAACTTTTATATAGTGCTACTTTCATGCTTATAGCATGCTCCAAGCACTTTTGGTCCAATCTCATTTGTGGGGAAGGGGTATCTAGGAGTTGGTTTTCTGTGCTGCCTTTAGGCGCTTTGTAAACACAACTCTGCCCGAGTCGGGTGTCGAACCTCGAGCCCTCTTCTAGGTAGCCAAGTTCAAGCGCACTTGGCCTCTCGACCACACTTTGTAAAGCTGTTAAAGAGATCCTCATACTTTCAATGGACTAGCAACTGTGGAGAGCGGTTTCTCCACCTGCAAGGAGTGCTCTGCCACTAAATCCTAGAAAAAGACCACTTACTATCTTTTGGTAGTAAGGGCAATTTTGGCAAAGAGCTTTCATGTTAAGCTCCTTAAGCAGGATTGAGATATTCTCATTACTGGTATTTCATATTCACTTATCCCTTTGTTGTGGCACAACACAAGATCTGTTGACCATCTTTCTCCATTCAACTTTTACAGGCCCGCCCATTCTTTTATGTTGTCTTCCCATCGCTTTCTGTGTCTGATTCTTTTTCCTGGTACTGTTCCCTAAAGAAATGTCTTTGCAAGCCCTGAGAACCTTGTAATATGGCCATAGAGTTTTAGTTTGCGTTTTTTTATAGTAGTTAGCATGTCATCGTGGGGTCCAAATGCTGTACTAATTCTGTCTCTAATCTCTTTGTGATGCAGTCTATGTGATACCTAGGATATTTCTGTACCATCTAAATTCCATTGCTAGGATTTGTCTCTCTAGTTCCAATGTCCAAGACTTCTAAGCGTATTAAGAATGTGGCCATGGCCACAGAGAGCTTTTAGTTTGATTTTATGATTTTAGCCATTTCACCTCCAATACTGATGTCCTGGTACTTAGAAAAGCGATAACCATCTAACTAAATCAGAAGCTATTAAAGAAGATGAAATAAGTATTTAATTTTACAAAGCAACAATGACAAAGAGCACTGTTTCTTAAATAGGTGGATAAGAGAGTTGCCTGGTGTGTACTGACAGCTTTGTTGGGGTAATAGGATAGGAATAGGAAGAAATTCCACATGGTTAGTGTTGCTTGGGGACACTTGCATTGGGTCCAGGACCTGAGGACTGGCCCATGCATATGATATAACCCAGGTATACTAATGGTCATTGGCAACCTCAGACAGGACTTGTGGGGTGAAGATCTGGTCCACACTTGGCCATTTGCGTAAAATTCTTCTTAACAGTCATTTGCAAGAATAGAGCGCTTTGTTTAGTTCTAATGGACTTCAATGAAGGTACAGAATGTATCAAAAATTATGCAAGAAAATTTATAATACATTTTTGCAGTTCTGTACATAAAATAACAAAAAGTAATGTATAAAACAATAAATATTATTGTATTTGGCTAGTAGAATTTTTTTTTTTTTAATTAAAAAGTCTAAAAGAAAGTTTTGTGAAAGTTGAGTGTGCTTTTCAAAGTGATTGAGGACAAAGTAATAATTTTTTTCACAAAAGTAACCTGGAATTTTAAATTAACCAGGATTAGCTGAAAATTGTTTAATCAGGCATGCATATTAAAACATAAAGCAAGTATACAATTCAAATGTATTTTTTAAAAATTGTTTTTTACATGGTGGAGAGATAAATAAATACATAAATATAACATTTGTACATAGTCCATCTTAGATATACATCATTTATCTTTTTTTTTCTCACATACTTTGTAATGGAAAAAGCTTATTATGTGCTAGAGTTAACAAGTTTCAGTGGTAAAAATGAACACAATTTTTGTCATTTTATTGCCATTTTCAGTGTCAAATTTAATCTTTTTATCATGTTGCAAACTGATTGAATAACATTTAAAATAGTTGATTGAATTACATTTAAAATAGTTAAATATAAGTATTACTTTTTTGCATGTTTTTACAACACTTAAAATCAGAACGCCAGAAAAAAAAAAAGTCCTTTTTAAAATTCTTAACAAATATATTCATAAAAACACACTATTTTATATGAACATTAGTAAACAAATTTGGATACGACATACCAAAAGTAAAAATTTAATCAAAATAGAATCACATCTGATCAATTTTTACAACATTATCATTACCGGTATAGCTAGGGAAAAAAAGCACCTATTTCTGCATCCACATTGGCACTGCACAAGTCTTAGTAATTTACAGCCAATAACCAGCTGATTTATAAAGTCTAAAAACTAGATCAAGCTAATTACTGTCAAAGTAGTTGTAATAAAGGTCATTTTGAATGCCATAAAAATTGAATTAGACAAAGTAGTGCATTTAAGGACACATACATAATTCTAGGTTAAAATAACTGATTATAACTAGTATTAAAGTATTGTAAGTAAGCCTCAATAGAAAGTGGATATAAAATAATTAGAAAATTCAAAATATCAAATCAGTTAAAATATTAGTGGTATGGACTAAAAATACACTGCTTGGTAATTCAAATGTGGTCCATACGTATAAGAGAAGATGAGCAAATAATTTGGTCCTGAAGTAAAAGTAGATGAAACATATTTTAAATGTACTGTAACCAAAACTGTTTCAAGAACTAAGCACCCAGTACTTAGTATAAATATCACAACAGATGTGTTTAAAAAAAAAATCATTCTTAGGCTCTACATTTTAACAATCATGTTTGTTTTTTTAATTTCCCAAGAA